GGCATGTCTCCAAACGAGGAGGAGCGTAGAGAAGGCGAATTAGACATGGTGGTATAGGGATTCTAAACACCGACGGCGTGGGTTTTAGCTGCAGGTGAAGAATATAAATGAGGGAACCAGAGGCCAGAATCACGACCTTGTTTCTACCACAGAGGTCCTAGGCGGTTGTGAATGTCGAGTCGTGTGCGAGCACAATGTATGGCGGGGGTGCGCGCAAGAGGGCGCCAAGTGTAGTGTCGCGTGTGAAGATGGGAGGAAAGTCGCTCGGGAGCGGATCGCCCTTGGGTTCCATTGATTGGTTGCTAGACGCGTCGCAGTGGATTGTAGTGTATCCTCCTCACACGTGTGTGTATGTATGTTATGTTTGTATGTATGTTTGTATGTATGTACAGTGATTGTGGGAGAGTAACGGTGGCGGCTGAGTATTTGGGTTAGTGTATAGGTTGCATTAGGACGCGTGATGACACGCGCAAGTGTGGCAAAAGCAATGTAGCGACGAGCAAGAAGAATAAGAACGAAGGCGCACGGTACTGGGCTTGCTGGCGCACGTCGAGGAGTGGTGTTGGTGGTGGTGCACGTCAAGAGCAGACTTGGGGTCAATGGCACAGTTACAATGGTCAAAGGGGGGGATGAATCGGGCATCAAGGGCCGCCACCACCGCCACCTGCCACGGGGAGCCGCCTTAAGCCCTGAAGGGTCAAGCGAGAAGGGGAAGCATTAAGGACTTGCTAGTGAGCGGCCCAGTCCAACGGGCTGCCATGTTGCTGTTGCATGTTGGGCGCCCGCCTTTTATTAGTAGCTGTCCACTGTCCACTGTCCACTTTTCCACCGTCCGCGTTTCCACTGCAACCGTCCGCCGTCGGCGAGTGCGTGGGGAGATGGGGGGCTTCGAGGGGCGCCGCCCCCCCTTGTCCTTGGGCGGCCGCCTCCCTGCCCGACCTGCATGAGGCCTGCATGGCGTCACGAACACCCCTCCCCTTCCCTCTCCCTCTCTCCACACACCATATATGCACATCCATCCATACTCGCACACACGTCCTCGATGCCCATCAAAACACGGACGTGCCAGCTCGCCCTGCTGTTGGACGGCTGCCTCGCATGGTAAAACGGGCGGCGCCTCCCTAAGGCCGTGGCTGTTGCTGGGCGTCGGTGGGCTGGACCCGACTGTCTTCAGTAGCGCTGCATTGGTTGTCCGCTCATGGATGGTTCCGTCACGTGCTTTTTTTGCCAAGCTGCCATCCACACTGCTCCACGACATGGACACACGGCCGACGGGCCACGGGCGTCATGATATACTTTTCCTTCGCCTCAGTTGCTTTGGCAACTTGTCGTCGGGGCTTTTTGCTCGCCAACGAACCGCACGCCGTCGACCGACTCGGGCTGTTGAGCTATCCAGCACCCGCCCTTCACCTGTCAATCCTCGCCGGCACAGGCCCGAGCCTCAAATCGGCCATGTAGCTATCGTAAACCACTACATACTCACCACACAGTATAGCCATGTCCAGACTAGATACCCATCTTCAGTGATCGCCCATCGGACCATGCTCCGATGCCTCGGACTCATGTCGGTCGCCAGCTAGTACATGTACCTGCTATGCGCCCTCTTCACCTCCTCGACCTTTTGCGCTCTCTGACTGGGCCTTTGAGCATGACATTGTTGCATGCAGGAGCGGGGCAAGCATGGCGACAGTACTTAGCCCCAAACCTTGCTCTTCCTCCTCCACCTCCTCCACCACCACCACCACCACCCAATATCAACCATCAGCACAACCTCGTCCATCAATATTACACCCCATTAGAAACAATACCAATAATACACACACATACTGTACCATGTACCTACATGTCTACACTACTCACATACGTACGTACGTATATACTCAACATACACCCTGTCCGATTGCCTGCCCATCTGTCTGCCCCGGTTCTTCCATGTGCCGACAAGATTGCTGCCTCACGACATGTCCACACCCACTCCAGCGCTACGCAGCCGATCCTCCCATTCGACACGCAGCCTTTCCATCTGCTCCCAGCATTTGGTCCCCGTCTCGACAAACCGCTCCTGCTTCTCCTTGCACAGGTCCTCTGCATACGGATCCCTGCCTTTTCTCCTCCCCTCTTCTCCAATCTTGCCTCCCCAACCCCACCCCGGCACCTCGGTGCGATCTACACGCTCCTGTCCCCAAAAGTCTGTTGCACTCCCCCATTTGCCCACGCCCTCGTTTGCCTCGATGCTGTCCAGGGTGCTCTGACTCACAAGCGCTAGCCACACCATGGCCGTCGCCCCCTTCTCCACCGTGATCGTGTGCCACTGACTGCCCACCCATCGCGCCACATAAAAGGCAATCAGCATGCAGTACTCGAGTATCAGCGGGAGCGGCATAATCGCCGTTCCGCAAATCCCCGGGTGCGTGACGTACAGCCGTGGCTCAGTCGTCTCCTTGTCATCCTCGTCCTTGGCCTTGCCTTTGCCTGTCTCCAGATACCGGGCCACCGACTGCCTTGTACATGGTAGCCTTGACGAAATCGCCAACACATCCGTTAAACGCTTGCTGACCTCGTATGGCATGTCGGAAAGAATGCCTTGGATATCCTGCACATCAAACACGTGGTCGTACGCCTCAAGACTGCTGACCCAGATGATGCGGCCCCTCGTCTTGCTGCTCTTCGGGTGCTTGGCCAGCAGCGGTGCAAGATAGTGGCCCAGCATGTAGTGACCAAAGACATTGGCACAGAAGACTTGGCCCAGAGGCGGCTCTTCCACCTCCTTTTCTGCCTGTATCTGGGGCTTTGCAAGCCATCCAATACCAGAGATCTTGTACGTAGGCCAGGTTATGGCATGGCTCCAATTGGTGAGGATGGTCCAAATGGCCTGGGGCCAATTGATTCCTGTCCAGCCGCCAATGCCAGCATTGCAGATGAGCACGTCGAGCTTAGGCGTCGTCTCTCGTAGCTTTTTGCTAAGCTTCTGCACCGAGACCAGACTGAGCAGATCTAAACGCTCCTGCCGAAAGTATACGCGGTTGCGCAGAACCTGAGCAATGCCTGGGAGCTTGCGCTCATGGGAGCGGATGGTGTTCGCCAGGTGCTGCTCTAGCCTATGAATCGTGGCGTCGCCTTTGCGCTGATCGCGTGTGGTGATGATGAGGACGAGGGATTCCGTCTGGGGCCGGGTCTGGAGAAACTCATCAATCAGCCGAGTCCCGATCCCGAGGCCGAGGCCGCTGCGAAACGAGTCAACTGTGTGCCACCGAGCCTAGCGTGTTCGAGCTGCAAACCTGTTGGCGCCCGTGACGAGCACATAAAAGGCATTGTCGGGGGTTGGGATGTCTTGTGGTAGGGACATGTTATGTTTGGATGCTAAATGCGGATGAGAAGACAAGGCGGCGCCGTGAGCAGTCTCGCCTCGGGGACACGTCGTCGCGTCCAATCAGGGTGCATCTAGTGCCACGCTAAAAAAGACGCTCTCTCACCTTCTCACGCCCCAACTCTGGCTCAACGGCTGCACTTTGGCCGCCTGCTCACATGCCTTTGTATGTCCGACTTACCAAGCACACGGCTTGCATGCATGCGTCTTGACCCGTCACTCGCACCCACCCCGTCCTCAACACACAGCAACAAGATTCACACTTTGCGCCACCGACCTGCTCGTGACATGGACACACCCAAAACCAACACGCAACACCCTGGCCGTGGATTTAATTCGATATTGTAGCCGACCAGGATGGCCTCTCTGCCATAGCCCACACCGACACGTCTCATTCATGTCGTGCATATCCTTTCGGGTCTTTTCTGACTTTTATATTATGCAGACCGGCATAAAATGCAGCATCCCGCGTCACGAGCGTAAGCAAGTGACATGTTCACACGGCTGAGGATATTCAAACTTCCCACGCCTCGACAGCGGACTTTACCGCTCGTTGTCACCACCATGGTTTTGGTTTATTTTAATTTTTTTTTCTCTTTCTCCAGAGCTAGACCTTGACATGAGTGCTCCCGGCTCATGCAGCCCTATATGGGCCCCGCATATTGCTTACCATGATGACGGCTCGCTAACGGAGTCGTCCTTCCTGACTCGGACGCTTGTCCGACATACCGATACTTTCAATCTTTCACCCCCTTCATGTGCACCCGTAACGAAGCAGGAATACCCGAGACGAAGCATCGCACACCCAATCCTGCAGTCAGTCAGCCTTGCAAGCTGCTTGATCTTGGAACGGCTGCAGCTCGGCCCACGGGCGGTGAAAAGGCCTGACCGAGGCTCACTACGAATCCACAATCATATTGGGCTACGAAGACGCTCACAGACATCCTCTCGGCAGATGCAAAAAACGCATGTACCGTGTGGATGTGCGTGAGCTGTGAGATGGGAACGGCCGTTCTTCCAATGCGACGAGGCAGGTACAACGAGACATCAGGGTACTACGGCAAGAATTGCGAGTCAAACCGAGCGAGATACGGATCCAAACGAACAATAGTCAGCAACCACAACTTACCATATGCAATGTGCTAAATCATGTCATGACTGCCTCTCATAATCCGCCCTTCTGGACTTGCAACCCCCCTTGCCGGAAGCTCCCGTCGATCGTGTCCATGATGCAGTTGTTGGCTGACACTTGATCAAGCATTGTCCAGACAATTGACCATTTATATCACACGCATGTGATGTAGATACTGAGATACATACGACAATGTATGTACACATTTTCAGGCCACCAGTCACTTGTTCCCAATAGCGAGTCATGTCATCCGAGGCACATCCGCACACATATCACATGGCCTGTCATCCAATTGCAACATAGGAATATTATTTGACCAAAAAAGACGCACACCCTACATATAGGTACGTTTAGTAAGTAAGTATGTATGCGGCTGTATCCTACATCTATATCCGTACATCCATACTTACTAAGTATACATGCATACATACGTACACACACACATATATATATATTACCCCCTCCACGCTAGCCTCGTTCCTTTCAAGCCCTGCTCCGTCTTCACCGGGCTTCGGCGATGTGACCGAAAGGCGGAGGTGGACATGAGGCGGGAAGCTTTGCAGGCTTTCGTGCATTTACGACACCCGAGCCCTATGGATTATAGGCGATCGGCTTATTGCCACAAGCACCATGGCGCCAGCATCGCCATGAGTTTCGCAATCATTTGCTTCGACAACAACCCCGGTAATATGCTTGCGGCAGCTCAACGTCAGCATGGCTCGTGTCGTCGTTTCCATGCTTCCGAAGAGAAGGGGGGGGCGGCGGCAGATGCTTGACCCTGCCATGACCATGTCTAGCTTCCTATTCTACAAATGTACTCGAGGTCCATACACACCTTACTAGCCATCCCGCGCAGATCCGGTATTAGACTGCTAGTCTTGCCAAACTGAGCTTGCCCACGTTTCTCATGGGTAGCGCCGGCGGGGGTGCGGAGGTTGAAGCGAAGCACCGAAGCACCGCCGGCCCCTTGTAACGGAGCGAGCATTGGAGTAGTAGCCCTTTTGTTGTCAGCCCGCCAACTATATCTGTGTCCGTTCTTCTTCTGGGCGGCATCCAGGTCCGCCGAGCCTATAATGCAAGACAAAATCAAGGTTCTTAAATATTTCAAAACGGGGGCGAACCGAATTTCGTCTCTGCGTCCCGCTTTCTTGCTGTTTTGTGGTAAAAGTAGTCGTGCTCCAATTAATCGTCTCCACACTCGCGCATGACCCGACGTTAAAACTCCGAGGTGATCCGCGACTAGCTCAATAGCCTGCTGCACGTCATACTTGGGACCTTTGTCGTACGTCTCAGATTGAAGCAAGGGCGGGAAAGTGCCGCTGTCCAAGTGCCACGGACTTTACTCCGCCCTTGCCATGGCGGGACCTCTTGTTGCATTGCTGTAAAGTATTTTCTGACCTGGACATCGGCGATGGCCCCTCCGGTCCGGATGTAATAAGCCTTTTTGTCGCGTGTCCGGTCTTTGTGCAACCAACACCCCCCCCTAACGCCGAGTTTGCCCGTCCAAAGAAGGTTTTGTGAAGATGAAGAAAATTACAATACCTGTCTGCCGTTTCCCCTCACCCCCCCCCGTTGTCCCCCCCCCCAAACCAAAACAGCCAGCCTATCACAAGTCATGCAGATCCCAGTCCTTGCAATGAAAACACCTTTGGCCAGAGTTTCTTGACAAACTTTGGCGTTGCTAATCAGCGGCATATACGGTACATAGTACATACACGTATTTTCTCCTCGCCCTCTGTCGGCGCACGCGTAATCTTACCGCTGTCAGGACGGGCTCCAGGGCTTCTTCAATACATGCAAACCCAAGCCAGACTTGGGGGGTGTTTTTTTATTTACTCATCCATCTCTTGACAGCTCGGGCCGTACCGATTAGGCGTCCAGCGAAGATCCTGGAGCACCAAAAAAGATGTGAAACGGCATGTCCTTCGACTCTGTGTCACCTGCCAGTCATGGTAGTCGTTGCGCGCGCGCCCTCGAGGAAAGCATCTTGATTGACAATCGTGCATCACACAAGTACCGACGCACGTCACAAACTGCCGACTCACGCTATTACTGTGCGGGTTACTAGTGTTTGCCTTGGAAAAAAAAATTAATTCTCCGGCATGTGTAAAATTGTGGCTGCGAAAATCGACAGCCTAAGTGGAAGAGAAAAAAGTGTAACTTCAAGGCAGGGATTGGGGGGGTAAGTGGAACTCGACGGCAATCCTTAGCCTGGAAGCAAGACAAACCCCCCCAAAAAAGAGGATGAAGGAAGGAAATAACCGCTAAATTACTGGTAAGGACCCTGTACAGTTGTGGTGTTCGCAAAAGCTAGCGGCCGTACCCGACTCCCCAGACGACGTCGATGGGGGACTGGATTAGCAACAATGTTGTAAGCAAGAAAGATACACCGGATGATACATTACCCATGCAGTTTTGGATGCGACCAACCCTAGAAAAGATGATCAAGGGCATGCGCAAATTGGGCGTATTTGTTCCGCGTATCCGCGCGCGACCGTGATAGGCTGTTGCCGAAAAAAGCTATGCGGAATACATTTTGCAAGGGAATGATTGTTCGTGTCATCTAAGGGCGGCTTCGGTGTCAAGGTTAAAACCACGATCCATGATCCCACCCCTCCCTCCCCCCATTCATCGACCGTATACAACTTAGCGAGCAGTAAGTGGGATGCCGGGAGGCTCTCCACGCGAAGAGGGACGCGAGTCAAGGACGACGGTTTTTTTGGGTGTAGTACGATACTCTGTACTTAACTTTTTTTTTTAGCGCAATTGCACCATGGGATGGTCGAGCCGGCGCGTCATCAGCCGCTAAACAAGAACCAAGTTGGCGCCCGTCACGACACACACATACGTCTAGGCTGAGCAGCGCGTGCACTGCACTGCACAGCCCATGTCGTGTCAAGGTTGAGCTGCTCAGGTCGGGGAATCGGAACTGCAAACCCCAAACGACAAAAGCAACCAACTTTTGACCCAGCTACGCACTCGTCAGACACATTTGATGACGGAGCGACAGTACCGATTCTTGAGTGGCAGCTCAAACTGCACGGCCATGGTCTTGGAACCTTCAACCTGAGCAATTTTTGTCGTGGGCCAAGCAAGCGCGGTACGTACTGTACATATCTACATATTTAGTATGTTTAGTACTTTAGTACATATAGCGACTAGTAGTAGAGTACCTAGTTGGACGAGTTGGCGATAGAATACCAATCCAAAAGGGCCAAGGAATTTCCTCCATGCGTGGAAGTATGCTCACATATATACACATGTATGTACATACGCATACATACCTGTCGCTCGTCCGGCTTTCAGTACCCGGACCAATCCCATGATTCCGTAGCATCTTGACAAGAAAAAAAAGCGCACACGCGATGGCAAGACAAGAGATGCTGCGCCGTAATTTTTCTTGGTTCCTGCCTCATGATTTGGGTCGAGTGCGAGTCAGTTGGTGCAGATCCACGACGCATAGGTCGCGCTTTGGTAACCCGTCCAATGATTCGCCTTCCAGAATGCTTCTACGGTGAATCGCAAGCGACCACCACGCTATAGGCGCAAGTTGTTCCCGCCGCTGCTGCTGCTGTTCAATGAGGCGGACGAGGCGACTCCGCGCGGGACTTGCAACAGCACCCATGTGCTCTATGTACAGACGGAATGCATTCCCTTGGGGTAGATGAAATGGAGGGGGGAGATGACAAAACGTCTGGTGGTGAAACAGAAGTGGATTCATATTGGCAATCATTCAGCATCGTTTTTGTTGCTTTCTCACATGAGGTCAGCATCAAGGACACGGCAAGCAAGGTGCATATGACGACCTTGTGGGGAGGGGCATAGGACGGAACATGCATCGTCGACGCGGCTGGTGCGATGCTGGCACCAGAGTCACCAGGTCGAAGCTGCGTCCTTGTGTCGTGAGACCCTGCGGCCCGATGGTCAAGGTGGCTGAGCACAGTCCTGGATGATGGGGAAGAGTGATTTGCGCAAAAAAGGGCTGGGCCTTGATACGAGTAGAGCGTCGAGGCCTGGTAAGGAGGATGAGCAAAGGTCCCAAAGGGCGGCAAAATGCCTGTCACGCCATGTGGCCATGGAAAGGACTAGGAGAAAAGGAGAGTGACTCGTGTGCGATGTGGATATACGATGATGAGATGTTGATAAGCGCATGTGTACGTACATATGTATAGTAGTAAAGTAAGCTTGTGTGGCGGGCAGGCTGTGGCAGTAAGATTGCTGTGTCGACACAGAGAGTGACAGACAGCCAAGGCGGCCCGTGCTCCGACCAACCTCAGCCCTGTCATTGGCCAGACGCTCATTGCTAGCTACGCGTATTGATGCCCTACTATGCTTCTTTTCACGGGGCTATGGTTCCACCCTTCCATTCGGTGACTTGCATAAGTCGACTATGGCTGCATGTGTGCCTGAATCGACACAATCCAAGGCCCCCGTACACAGTACTATGTACACTTTCTATACCAAACGCCCCCTCTTCCCCCCAAAGCAAGCGCCCCCATTCAAACTTCCCGCTACTAGCCGGCCAGACCAAAAAAACCAGACCACCGCCCGCTGCCTCTCCCTCCGTCGCAACTTGATGAATGGGCTTGAGACTTTGAAACCGAGCCATCTGGAGGTGTCCATATTGCAATGCGAGACAGGCACTGTCCACCCACGGGCTCTTCACTCCGTCATGGATACGAAGCTTAGGGCCATGATGCGCAGGCCGAGATTGGGCCGAAGGGCTGATGTTTCTCGGCTCTCATTGTGATTTTCCTTGCAGGCGAACTGCATGTCAAACATGAAACGGAAGAAGGCAAGAGGGCAGACAAATCGATCGGCTGTGTGCCTCTTCCGAATCCCGTTCGTGTTGCACCCTTCCTAGACAGGTGGCCGGCCGGCCACTCTGTCTCTTCACTAGCGGGCGTGGCTTTCAACCCTCCGGAGTTGTCGCCGTCCCGATAGAATTTCGGCAGACAGGTGATCCTCCACTGACTTGGGCTTTGGCTAATGCAGTAACAAGCACACTGTCTGAACTATTGGGGAATGCCGAATGTCGCCTTTTCACCGTTGGGGTAATTCTGAGCGCTTCCGTGTTTGCCCAAGGCCGGTTGGTTGGTTGGGGGGAAGATTGGAATGCACGGAATGCCTTCCGTCGAGCCTGGACCCCTTGGATTGGTGAGGGGAGAGAGGGGGAGAGGATTCCGGTGACCTTTGAGCGACTTTGTCGAACCCGACTGACTGCAATTTCGCCTCAGTGTCCAGAGAGATTGTGTTTTATTGCGGAAAGGGGAAACAACAATGGCGGAGAGCAATACATGACTCTTGTGAAGGACAATGATGATGCAATTCGACTAGTAAATCAACAGGTGCCGAAAAAGAAAAAACAACAACTTCCAAAATGGGTATTATGCGAATGTCCACCATGTAACGCCGAGTAATGTCACAACTTTTTGTTTTTACAGACAGGAAAAGGAAGAGGACTGAGGTTGGTGGGTGTCATCGTCTACAATCGCCTAGGTTGATGTTAGTATGAATGAACATGATCAAGTGCCATATGGGGGTGATGTTACGAACCGCAATTATCGTTCAATCTATATTCTCTAAAATGAGGGGTCAGTATGGCGATGAAGGTTGTTGCATTTTTGGCATATGGGTTCTTACACTGCAGTGACATTTGCCGGGCACCGTACATGAGTTTGTTGATATTTGGTACACCATGCCTTGACAACATATCGGACGTGCGTACACTTGTACTGCACTTGTGTATAGTCGCACATGATGATATAGAAGAGACGGTTAAGAAGGATGTGAGGGGGTGGTACAGTTGTAGGGTGGGCACAGGGTCCGCAGAAATGTGGCAAAAAGGTGGGAATGGGACGGCAAGGCAAGCAATGCAGTTGGTACGTTTGGATGGAGAAATTTCAAGCTTGATTGGCATGCAGATGCGCGCGACGGTCCGCTATGTTATAGTAGTCTCCAGACACAGTAGCTGGATAGGCGTCAGTGCGATCAGGTACCCGTGGAAGCTGTGCAGAGCCACTACGCCCCCATGTCGATTTGAACCTGGTCCATCAGCAGCAAGCATGCATCATTGTAGCGGACATGGATGCTTCAGCGGGACCGGGTTCTCATGTGTGGTCGAGCCTTTTACACGCCATAGAGCTGGGTGGAGACGTCCATGTTTGAAGTCTGTTCGCTTCCAGCAACCTTGAGCGAAAGCTTGCAGCCCAATGCGGACGCCGAGCGGATCAACGGGATGTCCCCATGTCCAGGAGATAAGATGGTAGGGTAGCGTGCGTAATGAACGTCGGTTTGACCCCCAGGGGTGTGATAATCAGCGGAGAGGCCATCTGGTGGCAAGGACAAGCCTCCCATGCACTAAGTTCGGAGCCACAGGCGTGCGCACAGGTCAGGGTTGATCGACGACTTACCTGTACCGTTGCATGTCGAGGTGGCCCGGGGGGGTGCCTGCAGCCGTTGGAGTATCCCTGACGGTAGACAAAAGTAAGCTTCGAGGCCGGGGTCGCTCTGGTTCCCACATCCAGTGCATCTCGAAGCACAACGTCGAGTATTGCTTGGATATACGTCGTCGTAGCGGCATTTTCATGGCTTCGCCCGCCCGCCCGCCCAAACACACACACGCCAACACGACGCGTTTTGTGGTATCGCGGCACATGTTTCATCCTCCAAAACTGAAGTACTTGGCTACACCGTTACTCACCGATTTTTCATCCTCGATGCTTGCTGTCCCGCTTCCCCGGTCCCAGTTTGCATCGCGAAAGCATCCGGAGGTCAGGTGTTGCGCAATCATCGCTTGCCGTCCCGCATACGGCGACTACTTGCAAGTTTGTATGGTTGTGTGACATAGTCTAACGGTACGTCTGGGCCCCCACTCACAGGCCTGACTGTGTCCAAACGACAATTGCGGTATAACCGCGAAATGACGCCGTCTACAAAAGACCGACGACGGCGTCCACTAACTAAGTACTGCCGGCTATCACTCGGTACTAGTAGATCAGTGCCATGTGACGCCACGAACGTACGTAGATATTTCCCTCACATAGCCACGTGTATCCATCCTCGCCGTATTGCCCTTTTTTCTTACTCCCAGCAATGGGATTGGCAGTGACTTTTTCTTGGGCTCGTGTCTACACCGCTACGCTGTCCGTCCATTCACTCACGCGGATACAGACGGCTCCAGGATACTTTCAAACTGCATCATGTCTTTTTGACAGCACACTCGGCACTATCGGAAGCGCTACTATGCTCAAAAAAAACTCAATGGCAAAACCTCATCTTTCACAAGTCGTCCTGGAATGCTCAGTACCTGATGCATGCAAACACATGAAGACCAGGCACCCGGTACAGCAGGTCCGCGGAAGGAAGCGACGTGCCGCTCCTCCATGCACCACCCAAAGGTGGGCCTGCTGCAGCAAAATAGATGAAAGGGTAATATGCTCCATTCCTAGTCGTGGGCCTGGAATCAGGATTCAAGCGTAGAACTAGGTGTAGCTGCTCCTCGCCAATGCCGACCAGACCAGATACTACTACAGGTGTTTGCAGGAAAAAAAAATACTAGGATACCGTTCCTGGGGATTCGATTGTTTTTTTTCTTTTTGCCACCAGTCTTTATGTTGCTGGCGGATGATTGGACTCATTCGAAAAAAAAGAAGCAAGCAAGTTTGCGACCACGGTGTCCAGACGAGGAAGTTCGATACGAGGGCTCAGCAATATCTGTTCCTTGTTACCTGCCCTGTTATTGTCGTTACGGTACTATTCTTACATGGTATCTTTCTAGTCAAGTAAGACATCAGTGAGTAATCATCAATGTTGGTCCCCAGTACGGCTACATTCAGCCTAGTTGTATACTACGTCGTGCCGCATCTGCATGACAATGGCGTGAGACGCGAAGAAGCCTGCATTAGGCAACATGCGCATGCACCGACCGTAATGACACCTTGGCAGCCTTATTGACGTTATTTCATTGGTGCAATGCGTAAAATTCTACTAGGCATGTAGGTGATTTTCATGCTACTTCGTTTTGACCAGACGCATGGGACATTCAGGCTGAACATGAGGTAGTACATATATGAACGGCAACGTCACAGGATGGTTGAGCTAGCTTATCCAATACCGATAATGTTAAATCTCATTCCCACGCCGTGCTAGGGCAGTGTCTATACTAGAGGCGGTTGTAGAAATCCGCTTGGCCCACAATATCTTGTCGATTATCAATCCACTTTGTAGCCCACCCAGAGCATGAACATCCATATCACAGTGTACTGGTACTTTCTGAAGCAAGCTTCCCAACTCCGTACTACCTGGCGCCAAGGAGAAATACACTGAATCGTTTATGGATAAATTAGTCTCCAATACAGATGCAAATTATGAGAATTCTCCATTAGCTTCACCAGCATCTAACCAGCCGCGGCACATCTCGACAGCCTAGATAAGAACTTAAAGTTAGTTTACTTTTGTCACCCGCAATCTCTGGATCGCGACGACTTACCCGTCCCCATTTCTTGAACATCTTCTCACCGACCTCTTTGTCCACGTTTGGTTTAAAAATCATGCGATCTTTCTGATTGATTTCCTTCAGCTCTTCAAATTCTTTCCATACGCCAACAGCAAATCCAGCTGCGATGGCGGCACCTAACGCAGTAGTTTCGCGCATTGCCGGACGATCTACAGGAATGCCAATGATATTTGCCTGAGTCTGTTGTTCGTGGTCAGCAAGAAAAGACTTTCTAGAAATATCAAACCAGCATTCACATACCTGCATACACAAATTAGAATTACTCATTCCACCGTCAACTGCAAGCATATTGAGCTTGTGACCACTGTCTAGTTCCATGGCGTCGAGAATTGCCCTTGTCTGGAAACACGTTGCCTCAAGGGTTGCGCGAGCGATGTGACCCCGCTCTGTGAATTGAGTGATTCCGAATATGGTGCCTTTTGCATCGTCGATCCAGTAAGGTGCAAAAAGACCACTGAAAGCCGTGACAAAGACGCATCCACCATTGTCTTCGACAGAGGCTGCCAAGTCGCTAATCTTGTGCGAATGTGTAATGAAGCCCATATTGTTCATGAGAAACTTGACGCCACTGCCCGCCACGGCGATGCTACCTTCGAGTGCATACACTGGCTTCCGTTTCCCACCAAAATCATACGCCACGGTGGCCAGAAGGCCGTGCGAGGAGATAACAGGCTTTTCGCCAACATTGTACAGCAGGAAACAGCCCGTGCCGTACGTATTCTTTGCAGAACCAGGTGTGAACCCTTGTTGACCAACTAGAGCCGAAGATTGATCACCGAGACACCCCGCAATCCGTACACCTTCCAGTATACCGGTTCTTATGTACCCAAATTCGTCTGGCGATGAAGACGGGACGATTTTTGGTAATTTTACCTTGGTGCGATCGATTCCGAAAAAGTCCAGAAGCTTGTCATCGTATTGAACGGTGTGCCTGTCGGTGCGTTAGCGAATGCTGGCGCTTTTGGCTAAAATATAGTGGCGAGTGGCTAACTTACAGATTGACGAACATGGTTCTTGATGCATTAGTTGAATCTGTTACGTGAATTCCGCCATCCTTTCCACCGTTCAGGTTGTATAATATCCAAGAATCGATGGTGCCGAACGAAAGTCTTTTTTCTTCGTACGCACTCCTGACGTTTTCGTCATGATCGAGCAGCCAGCGCAGTTTGACCGATGACGGGTAGGTTGAAAGAGGAAGACCGGTCAAATTCAACAACTCATCAGCACCCTTTCGATCCTTCAGCTCACGCACTAACCCCTTAGTCCTGGTATCTGGCCTACGGACAGACGAGCCGGGGTCAGCTAAATCACATGTGCGTTTTGTGCATGTGCCATACGTACCAAGCGATTGCGTTGCAAATAGGCAGGCCAGTGGTAGTGTCCCACACTACTGTGGTCTCACGCTGGTTGGTGATACCAATAGCCTTGATGTCCTCGATATTGTGGCCATTGTCCAAGAAAATGTTTGTAGCCCTGTCGATGCATTGTTCCACCGTGTCAATAATTTCCCATGGATCGTGTTCATGCCATCTGTGCCGATTAGAGAGAAGTTTTGATTGTGGTGCAGATGTCTACTGACCCTGATTGAGGATACTTTTGGGTGAATTCAATCTGATGTTGGGCTACGGGTTCACCGAGACCATCGAAGATGATAAAGCGAGTACTCGTAGTTCCTTGATCTATGGATCCAATAAAGAACTGTTTCAGCTTCCCTTCATCCAAGTGCGATTGTGATTCTTCCTGGATTTCTTCTTTGGGCACCGGCTGAGGTTCCGTCGCGTGCGCGGAGATGTCTTGTGTCGCCATGCTGTAGACTTTGTTTTTCTGCTTGCACTTGTATGCGCAGGCGGACCCTTTAGTGCGAGAAGGGCTTTCCGTTTGCGATCGAAGCTGTGGGATAAGCGCGACAGATGCAGTGGTTACTCGGCGGCGTCGCTCTCTAGGACTGGGCGCTAACAGCAATCTCGGGCGCAGTTGAGGCACGGAATAATTTTTAGCGACGTCGATTAGGTCGCACAATACACCAGATGCTTTATGATATTGGTGCAGAGATGTGTATGGGGTGTGATGTGTGAAGAAGGGCCTTGGTCCTCGGGCACGCAGCAACAAAAGGTTCTTGCGACAAGAAAAGGCCAGGGCAAGGGCAGTCGAATTCACGGATTGAAGGTGAAGTGGTAGAGAGCAGATCGCAGGGAGAGCATCGTAGAAGACGGGAGGATTCGGTGGTTAATCGGCAGTCGTCGGGGTCAAGACACGTGCCGTTGCTGTGCGGTGTCTGCCGTATGACGCTGGAAGAGGGGTGGTTTTGGCTTTAAAGCGGGGGAGGGGGAAGAGCTCCACGGCCAACAACGCGGCTGCAAAGATGCCCAGCCTTGTCACATGGAGCCTCAAATCTTTCAGCCTCCTCCGAGCCCCAGAGGTAAGCCATTGAACGCCCTCCGAATCGTCGATCAAGCCCAATGCCAACAAAACTAGACCTTTTGCCCGGCATCGCATCCGCGCCTATGTCAGTGTGACTTCACATACAGCGGGTCGCGCGACCAACAACTCCACACCTTTTGGCGCCGTCCATTTCTCCAGTGGGACTCCAGTGGGACACCCGTCGCGAATCCACCTAGAGCCTCATCAAGAACTCAGTGTTAAGTACTCCAGGGCGCTCCCCGCTCGTCTTGCTGCCCATGTAGCCTGCAGGCTCATCCTGGACATGCGTCTCCCGTGTAGACGTTCTATATCTAGAGCCCCTTGCCCGGCTGTCGATAGTGCTCAACCGGCCTCAACATTTCGACGCGACGTCGCCACGAGACGGTTGCTTTTTCACAATGACTCGCGATTGGGCTGTGCCACATAGCCCCCATTGCAATTGCATAGAAGCGGAATGATCTTCTGGGCGGAGTGTCTCTAGCGCGGGGACACGGGGGGGAGCACAGTATGGTCGAACCTGTGGTCGCATCTCCACCAAGTACACCGCCATGGCCATTGTATTTCCAGACATACCGCGACTTTAGACCGAGAAAACTTTGACGCCGAGACAAACGGAATCCTCCAGACCGATAAACACTCTGCGCTGCCGGCGTAGTACATACATTTGTGAGTATGGAGGATAGTTAACGGTATCAAGTAAAGTGTCCGCAACCTGTGGAGCAAAGTGGAGTGGACTCGTAATGTCGCAAACCCAGATGTTGGGGATGGCTGCAAAGACGCACTAGCACGTGACGTCCAGATTCGGTAGTTCCGAACCCTCTAGAACGCCATTCCATTCAACCCCCCACATCCCCCGCTTCAGGGTCGCTACTACATGTATTTTAGACATTTAGACATGGCCATATCACTGCTGCCCAAAGAACTCCGCTTACAAATTTGGGCCAATGTATACTTCAACGAACCACCTCGGCTAGTGGCTTTGGAAACCAAGCCTCACGATGAGGGGCACGACGAGCAGCACTTTTGCCCACGATATTGCCCCAGCTCGGCTCCCATAGCCGTGAACCTGTGCCGGGAGTCGCGTGCAGAAGCCCTTTATCAGGCCACCAAGGCGAACCATATCGTCCATCTCCCAACTGGACTCGCAGGAACCAGTTGTGACGATTTCTATTTCCGCGTCGATACAGACATTCTACTGCTTCAACTCCATGGGCCGCGCGTGAAACACTACGATGATTCACCAGAAGTGGGTTTGTTGGCTCATTTTCTCCTTGCGACTGGCTGCCATCCAACAAAACTGAGAAATATTGCCATAACAAAAGTTATTCTACACGGGTTTCGAGACGGCAGTCTGTCCAATGTTTTGCGGAGTTTTCCCAACATCTCACGCATGGTCATGATGCTGACAGAAGAAATTTGGGACAACGATGCACAGAAAGAACTGTTTGTTCGTGCAGCTGCGCGAATAGTACGTATGTACAAACTCGATCTCATGAACCACGCTCGCACCTCGGGTGAAATGTACAAAGCACATCCCTTTGATGTCGACTTTGCCACGCTTCGTTGTGGGCATCTAGATATAGTTCCCAAGGACGTGTGGAGAGACTGGAGCGATGGCGGCGACGAGTGGGCGACACTAGATAATTCCGAGCCCTTTTGGTAATAATACATAGATTGCTGTACACATCACCACCGGACCAAGTATTTACGCTAGGGGACTTCGTGATAGATTCGATCGCCCTCCTTCGGTAAAGCGAGGAAATCATCGGGTGTATCTTTTACACCTGGCAACTGGTGCTTCTCCGCCCAGTCTCGGATTGCATCGAAGTTACGACACGTGTGGACAGTATTGAAATCGACAAACGCTTGTAACGGTTTACCAGGCGGCTGATACCACACCTGGCCAAGAACTCCGACATCCATGACACACATGAGTTGCTGTCGCAGGATATCGAGGCAATGTGCTAAGGAAGTTGTGAGCTGTACGGTCCACTGTACAGAGAAGCATCCGGTACTCACTGGTGTGGTGTTTTAGGACATTTGCATCGTTGGAGAAAGGCCCCAGGCCTTGCTTGTGATAGTAATTGATATTCCAGGCTAGAGATTTGCGCAACAAGTTCTAAACCCGAATGAGTATTGGCTGCTAAGCGTGCCTGATAGGAACATACCAAGCAATGTAGATGGTGCAACCCCTCTACGTGTGCAGGGTATCCACCGCCATATTCTTCCTTGATCTGGACTTGATCCAATGCAAGACCAGATTGCTGTGCCTCGTTTGCCGGTACTCTCACCGCATGGTCTGTACTGATGTTAGCGGGCGATGGCTTTCATGACTTAGTTCACTTACAGTCCACACCCAACGACTTCCATGCTGCGTCAACTTCAGCACCTGCGTCTAGTCGATATGGATTAGACACCATGAGCGAGCCATTAAATTGCAACTGCTTGTAGGTAACACCGACGTCGTGCATTATAGGTGCTAGTGGATTTCAGTAAAGTGCCTTCCAACAAGTAGCTCTTCTAGACATACAATACTTTGAAGTAAGCCTCGCACAGAAAGCATCCGCATTTGGCTGTTGTAGCATGACCACACACGCTCCAAATGTGGCAGAGAAGACTGCTGTGAAGCAGATGAGACAAGTTGCCATCTTCCAGGACAACCCCTGTGGTGCTGGATGCAGCGGCCATGATTCGAGTGACGATCGAGCGCTCACCGAAAGTAGTTTCTCGCAGTCTTCTGCTTGTGTCATTTTCTCTTTATCAGAGCATTCTCGTAGACCGAAGCTGGGCATATTAAAAATCATAGTTGCAAAGATGGTGAGAGTGAAGGAGATGAACGAGGCAGTCAGTCAACTGAACATTGGAGGGGAATAATCCAGCAGCACATGCCACGACTATTTGCCTCACCGTAAAACTCGCAAGGTTTGTATCTGTATAGCGTTATCTTTGCCCAGAATTGGTAGTTCAGCTTCACCCGGAATACCCCGCAGGAGCTGAATACAACTCATGAGGCATTGTCCACTCATAGTTACTAGTGGCGCATAGGGCTGAATTAGCCTTATTGAGGCTTTTGTATTGCCTCACTTAAATTTTGAGATAGTAACCTCTTGGTATATGTCAATTGTATATTGTGTGATGATGGAGGATCGTATACATAGTCAAGTTCGGACCAAAATTGATAACATCGACACAACACTGCAAAAGCACATTTCAAATAGAAGCACAAAACCACAGCTTGCAGAAGAAAGAAGAAAAAGAAGAAGACGCTGAAATGCGGTATAAGATGCGGCTACACTAGGCACATGCCCAGGAACTATCTGACGAGGCATCGCTGCAAGTTTGCTTGCCAGCTCAACAAACGAATCGTATACCGCCACTTTGTCACCGTCCAAACAATGCCAGCCTGGCTCACAGTTAGTCTCTTAGATACCAATAAAAGTAACAACAAGCCTCAATACCGTACCAATCACATAGCAACAAACCCGATCATATGCCGTAAACCTTGCATCTCGCATTCGGAGCCAAGATCTCCTATAGATCCAGAATCATAACGTTACCCATACTATTGACATTTCGTTAACCTCATGATAGGCCTTCAGAGAAGCGAAATTGGGCGCTGGCGTTTTCGCTCGCGAAAGAAGGAGGGTCTTTTGAGGCCCCCTGCCTTGTTCCAGGCCCATAGAATCTCGACCCAGCCACGATAGTCCACAAGAGAGAGAGAGAGAGAGAGAGAGAGAGAGAGAGGTTTATGAGATCAGCAAGTGGCTTGATGTATACAGACTAGCGAGTCACCGTAGTCTTTCAGCTCGGGTACGGAAGCCAGTAGGTTGGTTTAAGCGAGTATGGTTTTGTTCCGTAAGCGATGTGTTGGAAATATGTAGATAGTAGAGCTTCAGTTGATGTATAAAAGACCACCATTTCCTTTGTCGTTTTTTTATAAATCATCCAACTGATCAATCACACTTTCCCATCTTTCCATTCACTCGAAACTTGACAGACGTTTTCGATATACTATCCACAATCATGAAGTCCTTCATTGCCATCCTCGCCTTCGCCTCATGCGCTCTTGCCGCTCCAATCGCTCAAGGCTCATATGACGGTTACGGTAAGTGACAATCCCCCCCCCCCCCCAATTTCCTTCCGTGCAGGACTCTCCGTTGCACCAGACTCTCCCTCTCTCTCTATCTCTCTCCTTCTCTCTATCTTTTTAACTAACAAACATAAAGGCGATTACGCCAACGTACCCACTGAGGCCCCTGCCGAGTACGCGGACTACGGTACGTCTTCACCTCCTCTCTTTCTCTCTTGAAACTAACAAACATACCAAAGGAGACTACGGAAACGCGCCTCCAGTTGAGAACCCAAACCCACCAGCTGATTACGCAGACTACGGCGCGTATCCACCTCCTGCGGGCGGATATGGAGAGTACACTGGGTACAAGAAGGAATAGATGGATATAACTACGCTTTGAACATGACAAGAAAAAGCTTTAATAAAGTAGTGATAATGGATAATCTTTATGAAATGGAATTATGATTTCTCTCTCTTTCTCTCTATACTAAAAATTCTCTTTTGACTGAATATGTGGAACAGTAGGGTAACGGAAAAAAGCGGATATACAAAACAACAACTAACAACTAATAACATCCTTTCATAAACTGAGTTTTGATATTCTATACATACTATACTATACATATATATATCCGAGTTTCTAGACAAGGAAAAAAAAAGAAATACATATTAAGTCGTCGTGAAGATCTCCAAAAAAAGCTTTATCAACTTGTATTTTGCAATAGAACAAAGATCGGTTTCGTAGGTATCAGGCTTTCCCCCCTGCAATGCGTGAACAAAGAGAGAAAAAACATAGACATAGAAGACAGGCTTTCGAAGAGGCTGTGATATGTTCCTTTACGAGTTTGAAAAAAAAAACAAGGCTTTCATGCAAAATGACAAAAGGAAAATTTCAATGAACAAGGAAGAAAAAAATAAGGGTTAAAATCATGTACAGGATTTGCCCCGAAAAATATTACAACAGCTTGGCCGAAAACTAGTATGTTCCGCCCAAGCTGTTCCAGGCGGCTAAAACATCATCGCTGACGCTATCTCTACTGTCGGTAGAGGTTCGAGAGTTGCTCGTAATACAATCGGGGCTTAGATGGCGTGATCTCGTCTTGCCTGCACTGTTGACATACGTCGAGCCTTGCGATGACGTACGTGTCGCAGTTGAGTGAGCACTGCTTTGCCGTTGTCGTGTTTCTATAGTACCAAGAGCCAGTTCACTAATGTGTCTCGTGGCTCTCTTTTGGGGTTTTGGGGCTGGTGGTTCAACAATGCTCGGTGGGCGGGACGAAGCCTCGGATACTGGGGTCAGGTCCCGGACACCGTGAGTAGGCGGAACAGGGAATGCCATATCCGCATCACTAGATGCTGTTCGACGGCGTCGATGCGCACTTATCTCGCGAGACGAATCCGACTTGCCGTTCTCTAATGGTGCGCCAACAACACCTTGGTTCAAGGACGACATGTCATCCAGTTCGTTGCTTGTATCACTATTTGCTACTTTGACATTGACGCCCAAATCATCGACATAACGACCAGGCGTCATTGGCGATGGTAAGGGCGATGGGTGGTCGGTGGTCGTAAGTGACGTTCCGCTTTCAGCAGGCGTTGGCGAACGCTGTGGCGAGCGACGGCGGCGTGAGGTTTCCGACGATGCAACAAGACATCGAGGCGATCTTCCTCGGCTGGCCGGAGAGTGGTGGCGGTCTGACCAAGCATCGCTCACAGAGCTATCCCGTAGCTGGCTTGTGCCTACAGCACCGTCGACCTTTGCTGCTCTGCCACGTGCCGATGGCTGATGCGGTGCAGACGCGTTCGACGATGTGCGCTCTCTAGCTCTGGTATCCGTTGTGCATACAGAACCTGTCTCAGAGGGGTCCCGGGACTGTGACTGCGATCCACAGTGTTTGTGCATGGCAGCGCGCTTCTTTCTCATCAGTTCGAGTAAAGCCTCCTCCTCAGGGGTGACCTGCATGAATTTGCGCGATGGGTCGGAATGAGGTTGGGGTGCGCTAGCCGATGTACGGGAACTCGCCACACTCCGTCTCGATGGCGACAAGGGCTCATTGAATGCGGTCCTCGGCCGAGAATCCTCATCTTCAAGAATCACAGAAGGCTGCCTCACGTGACTGGTTCGTTTACTACCGCTGTAGGTGCGATTCCGCGAATAGCGATAGGTGGGCAAGGGCGGCTCAGGGGTATATATGATGTCAATTGTTGCGGCGTTTGTGGATGTCGAATGTGTACTCATTTTTCCGGCGGAATGCTGGCGATTGTGTAAAGAGCGCACTTCGTACGCTTGGGCGCGTCCAATCATAATATCCCCAGTATAGTCGGCACTATCCACGCTCTGACGGTTGAATGCGTGTCTAGACTGTGTTGGATTAGTGTCACCCTCATCTTCTGAAGAAGAAAACGACAAGACGCTTGAGTCTTGAAGATTTGTCTTTGAAAGTGCCGACTCCTTGGTCCTTGATGAGGTCTGTGAGTGATATGTGTTGACCGAATACTGGCTGGGCGAAGTTAGATGACGGATATCAACAATATCCTCGAGCGCAAAACTGTCCCTCTTGTACGCATTTGTCGAATTTTGCAATCGAGAGCCGAATGCTGCGTTCCCTGCTGGTTGGGAGGTCTGAGCACCAGAGGTATTACGGTTGACTTCACCATGTGAGTGAGCAGCCCGCGAAGCAGGGAATTTTTGCATTTCCTCTGCGGTTTCTTCACTGTCGTCCTCGAGCGCATCGAACCAATGTTGAACACCCTTTGGTGGTCGACGTACGTGCACTTTTGCATTGTCATACTCATCCCGCTCGATTTTGCGGACTGGGCTTGTTCCGCGACGTCCTGAAGGATTGCAATGGCCGGTGCTGTTCTTATGTGATAATTTTGTCGCTTTTTGTGGAGTTCGATCTCTTGATGGAGAGTGATGGAAATATTCCGAATTCATTGACATGGCAGCGGGCGAATTGACCATCTTGGTCGGTGAGAGCATTGCGTTGCCGTGGCGTTGATTGGCACTGTCCTTTGGCTTGGGAAACAGTCTCGACAAATCGAGGCGAGCAGGTTTACTTCTTCTACTATCCTTCTTTTTCCTTGCTTGATCCAGGATGACGGGTGACGCAGCACTTGCCACATAGCCGTCATAGCCCTTATCTGTCAATACCGGAGTGCGACCTCTTCTCAACGCGCGGTCTCGGATAGCCGAGTCAGATGTTTGTTGCGAAATGGACAAGGGGGAGTTTTTCGCATCGTAATGCGATCGAATGGTCGAGTTGGATGCCTGAGGATGTAGTCGATAGCCAGTTGAGCTGTGGTCAGAGCCCCACTTTCTTTCTCCGGAGTATATCCGCCCTAGGACATTTGATGATGGTTGTTTTGACATGGCGGGTCGTCGTGAACTCTCTGCTGTTGATGCTGTATTCCAGTCGTCCAGATGTGAGCGTGTACTTGTCTCTGATATGACCAGTGACATGTATCCAGGGTTCGATGTCGGTAGCGATTGGCCTGGGGTTGAATGATGTAGCGAATTGGAAGTGCCGAGTATCTGATGCGCCTTGCTGATTGTCTCGTCGTGACGGGACAGCCGTCTGGAGCTGGGGATAGAGGGTGGTGTGGAGCGAGTGCTTTCGTCGTAGTCGTCGTAGTCGTCGGTGGCGGCAGCGGCGGCGTGAGGCTTTTGTGGTTTGCTTCGCGGGCGGCGAGGCAATGCGAAGGAGAACTTCTTCTGTCCGCGGTCGTTGCGAGACATGATGCGTGAGCCAGCCGGGGTGCCGAAAGGAAAGTTGGTGGCTGCAATTTTAGTGTAGGCGCGACTCAGTAAAGTGAGAGACAGAGTGGAAAGAACTGAATCGCGGTACGCGCGGACGGCGTCATGCCAAATTCCGAATAGGCGCTGGTTTAGGCCGAAACCATGTCTGTTGCTATCGCGGACCGGGGCCGAGAGGACATGCGGGTGGACGGTGTTTTGCTTTTTGGGAGAGCGGCGAGGGTGCGGTATGCGGTGGATTAATGGACTGTACAACAAGGCCGACCGAGGAACCCAAGGGTTCAGCAGCGGGCCCTTCCTGCGCCAGACGCTAACCCGGCGTGGGTTGGAATGCTATCTGCAGGAACGGCAGTAGTACGGTTCCATGAAGAAGCAGGGGACCGGAGAGGGGAGGGGGGGCAGAGGGAGAAAAGGAAGGGTGTGGGATTGCAAAAGAGGGCGGGGGAGGGCGCAGCTTTACAGACAAAAGGAATGGCGAACGGGCAGGTATAGAGTGTGAAGATTAACGTCGAGGGCTTTGTGACTTGGATGCTGCGGGTTGCGACATGGCCGTGGCTCTGGTAGTAAGATCCGCGTGGTAGTGGGCGCCAGGGGTGTCAGCCGGCAGAGCTGCGGATCACCCCCTGCACAAGCTTGCCAGGCCAGGCTGCACGGCTCTGACAGAAGCCACTGCTTCATCACAGACATGCATACCCCAATTGTATACGCGATATTTAGCCTTTGGGGATGCGCTGTTGCGGTGCTAAGTGAATGAATGCGCCGTAGTTTGTGGAGCGAGTGGAGCCAGCGTCCAAGGCGACGGGCGTCATGTTTGCTGTTGGGCGCGAGGTCGAGTGGGCATTTGGATTTGGATTTGGATTTGAGCTGAGGGAGCCAGGGCAAGCCAGGGCAGGTGGTTGAGGCCGGGCCAGAGCGCAGCGTACCGAACCTTTGCCTTTGCGCCGTCACCACAGTACGAGGCTCCCGTGCGTTTCTGGCGCTGCGCTAATTCCAGCCCTGGAGAGGCATGGGCCAGGGCAAATTGAGGCTGTTGAGCGCCTTGACACCTGCCTCTGTCGTTGATGGCATGATGTATAAATACATTCCTTGCCAATCTCCACGTCCGTCGTACCTGAATTGCGCCGCAGTCGCTTCTTTTCCCCACAGAGTCTGGCTCCATACCCCTAATTGAAAAAGAGCCCGATCGGGTAGGAACAGTAGTTGGCATCCATGTATACTCTCGTACATACATACTTGTGGAAGTACATTGTCGGATGGCCACGGTGGGCGAAACCGCGTGGCTGACGAGCAGCTGTGCAGATTTGGAATGTTGGCACCACCATCATGACAGAGTGTGAGTGTTGAGGGACTGGGGCCCGCGGGAGATGCTCAGGGGGGATGTAGCATGCACCATCGATCAGCGCTCGTCTTTGGACCTGGTGGTGATCCTGTGGGTTTTCTCACGATGATCATGAACGTCTTTGTCCTTGATCAAGGGCTCAGCCGTCCCGGATGCGCAATGGCTTTGGATCTGATGGAGCTCGTCCCGTCGAGGAGCCTGAGATGCCCTGGTTGTGGCGGGCCGTGTGTCAGTGGGCAGACGCAGCTCCATTGAAATTTTGGGGGAAGGGGGGGATGGGCGAGATTCCGCCATGGGCACATCGCCGGGCGGCCCACAGTAAGTAGGCCATTACGTGCTCTGCAGGTGCCCCGTGGACTTGAGCCTCACCCACCCATGCATGTATGTGTGTGTAGTAAGTATTCTACTGTGTATACGTAGCATGTAAGTATGTATGCGCGTACTAGCTGCCCACGCGACACGGGTACACCTGCATACTTACCACATACTACCTACCTACATATATACTTACTCAGCCTGTGCACGTGATGGGGACTGAATGCCTCTGGCTGCATGCGATTACTCTACACACCTGTAGGTGTACTTACATGTGTACTCTACTTACAAGCGTCAAACACAGACAGTCACATGCACTCAACGCCGTTTCCCAGTGTCGCATCTCTCCCAGCTAGGCTTCCTGGCGCCTGGGCGCTGTCGGACTTTTTTTTTTCGCTTCTCCGCTGTCAATCACAGCGGCAGTACCGGCATCCGTTGGCCGCCTGACTGTTCTTTGTCAACCAGTTCAAACAGGTGGTGGTGCAGCCTACACATGCGGTGTGAAGCCTGGCCCTGTTCGTCGCTGGCAGAGACGGAACATGAAAGCCCGATTGGGTGGTGTTGCTGTCTTGTACTTGGTACATACTTACATATCCATGTCAGCACGCAGAGGGATCGGGCATTGGTAATCAAAAGCGGTCAAAGGGTAGGGCTGACCGGGTATATGTAGCAAGTAAGTACTTAGATAGACACGGAAGACGGTGAGATAAGGCCAGAGTATCCATCTTCACAGTTGCATGCTGCCTACTGAGGTAGAGCATGACGTCTTGTTCCCGGCATAGCTTCCCCACGGCCGTGCTGGATCAAGTGGCCCCGGCAGGAATGCGAAGACGGCTCCAGACATCAGCTGTGCCATCTTCGCGCAGCGGGCAATGGTGCTGATAATGGCAATCATGATAATCATGATTACCAATGGCGGATTGCACACAAACCATGAAACAGCATCCATTTTCCAGTCTTGGACAAGCAGCGTCTTGAAGCAGAGGCTCGGGTGAGTAGATGCATCGGGGCATGATTGTCTTGGGGTTGCCTGCTATTCTCGACTCCTCCCGTGACACTCCACGTGCGGCGTGGCGGCCTCTTGTGGCCGTGCTTGCTTCACGCGTGTCTTGTTCGGACAGCACATCGAGACGGGCGCCTGGTGGGGATTTTTTTTCTCGGTCTCTTGCCGCGGCAGCGCGGTTGGCCAAATGGCGTCAGGATGCACACGAGGCAGAAGAGGTATGCGCCTCGGAGACCATGGCTCGGGGAAGAGGCCAAACACGAGGGCACGCGCTGCGAACAAGGACAGCTGGGCCTGGCTGGTGCATGGAACCATGTACAGGCTGGACAAACAGTGCAATCAAAGGCGCGGTGGTGCTGGTCTGGTGCATGGTGTCAATACTACATATGCATCTACTTACCGTGAGGTGATGCGGCACCAAATTGACAGGGCGGGAAGTCAAGATTAGGATTAGGCCGAGCTAGACCAGCCCGCCCTGCAAGTGCTCATGCCTTTGCTCGCTCGTCTACTCTCCATAAACCCCACCACCGTGCCAGCCCACAACACCCAGTCCCCTCCTCTGAGCCATACGAGACTCTTCTCTCGCTGTTCCGCTCTCGCTGCTACGTGGCCTGTTTCCGCTCTCGACCTCCCGCCGCACGCCTCGACTTTGCCGGCCATCCCATCTCGTCTCGGCCAGCGGCAACACGCCTGCCAACACCCACCACAAAACTACCACACATCGCCGCCCCGACCAAGCCCGCGTCCCGGTCACTGTTGGCGACATGCACGATTACTAACCCCACTGTTTCTCTCCCGCGTCTTGCTGCTCCTCCTCGACCCATCGCGTGCTTTGGTTCCCGCACGCCTGTCACCATCACCACCACCACCTCCTCCTTCTCCACCACCGCTACCAAGGCTGCCTATCAGCCACCCAAACCCTGCCCCTCCCCTACTGCGGATCCCCCTCACACAGAGCGACGACGACGCGCACTTCTATCGCTAAAGCCCGTCGCCGTCTTGCAACATGGCCTCTGCCTCGAATGACTCCGGCCCCAGTGCTGATGGCGTGTCCAAGACGGTGCTACACGAAACCCCAGACCCCTACGCCACCATGGCACAGTTCTCGCTCGCCCCAGCGACAAAGACCACAGTAGTCACAACCACGTATACCACAACCACCACTTTTCCGCCCCTCTGTGTCAACGCCCCCGGAAGCCTGGCTGAACGAGACCCGAAAGACTACCCACTGGCCCATGTCCAAGCACCGGAGTCGATACGCAAGTTCTATTTTGAATCTGGAGGCGAACTGGCTTGCTTTGAGGAAGCAGAGGCTGCATCGGAGCGGGTGCAAGAGGTACGCCTTCGACAATTCCAGGGACATGCATGCAGCCGACGCCTTTCGCGTTACAGCTGCGCACGTCACCATTTCTTTAGTTACTATGTTTATAACTGACGCCCTACTTGCAGCAGAGATCACTCCAGGAAGTCCTCCGATCAAAGGGAAAAGTTCAGAAAGTCGAATCTTTTAATGGATCTCCAGTCTTCGCCACACCCAACCGCACGACGCGTCCCAAGATTCGAGCACATCAAGGACTGCGCTCCGTGTCTGCTCGACGAAAACGAGACAATACAGACGAATCACCTCCACCTCCATCAATAACCAAGGCTGTCGAGTTGGTTGGTATGCATCGCCAAAGCAAAAAACCCAGGTTAGAGCGCGACAAGGGAACTGACCCTGCACAAATGGCCCACAACAGTGCACCAGAAGATACCGAAGGTTCGTGTCCAGCTACACCTGAAACAAATAAAGGGGAGATGGGTGCATCCCGTCTGCCAAAAACCCGACCTAGCCCGTTCCCCAAGCCCAGCGCACGACCGACACCGCAGCAACTCGGACTGGGCAGAACGCCATCCAGGCGGCATCTCCGAGAGGCTTTTACTGCATCTACACAGCCCGAAGGTAGTCATTCCAGTCAGCGTGAACACTCTCCAGAACATTCATTCCCCACAGGAGTGGTTGACGGTCCTGGCGTGGCTGCTACTCCCCCAATAGCCGAATCTGACTTGGAACCGGTCGGACCCTTTACTGAACATGGTTCCTTCTCTACCTCGCGACTTGCCCCTCTCGATACGAATTCTGTCCAGGATGCTAGCTTGCCGAGCCCCAGTTTATCGCCCATCACTGCTGCCGCAAATCTTGCCCAACAAAACAGCAATGGGACCTCGTTTTCGGCCATGGACATAGACTATGATGCAAGCGAACTCTCCGGACTTGATCTCTCCCAGGGCGAGTCTAGCAATTCACGCACAGGCGACTTTCCTCTCTTCCCCCATGATGACTCCAATACCCAACTACCGACCCCTTCCATCATGGATATACCAAACATGCTCAACTCATTCGATGCTCTGCCAGAACAGATGAAGTCGTATGTTCTTTACCAAATGCTCCGACGATGCAAAAAACCGACTTTGCACTTTGTTGCAGATGTAGTGAACCCGGCTCTCAAACGTGACTTTATCGCCTCACTTCCTACTGAGCTGAGCTTAGAGATCATCGGTTATCTGGACGTCAAGAGCATGTGCAGCGCTGCACGGGTATCAAAGTACTGGCGAAAGCTAATCGACACTCATGAGTCTGCCTGGAAGGATCTACTTGACAGGGACGGTTACAGGCTGCCGCACGGCGAGCTGGAACGAGCTGTGCAGGAAGGTTGGGGATGGCAATATCCTCACTCGGCTGATAGTTATGAGTGTGACTTGAGGGCCCAGTCGATCACTTCCCGGTCCGACAACGAAGGCTTTTCAGGTTTTCCGAGCTCAAGTTTGTCCGGTGGCCTACAAGACCAAGAAGGTGCTGTGACACGATCCTCATCAACGCGCCAAAAGAGGAAGGCTACCAGCAAACATGGCAGCGGCAGCGGCAAGAAGCAACGCAAGAATCGAGCCTCGACTAAGACCCAGACGGCCCTGTATTTGCGTCCCGCCGATCTTCATGAAGGACCGCACGCTTTCGCCAAGCGTGCAGAAGCTGCCATCTCGGACCCCAACGTGGGCTTACCTAGTCTACGCGCTATGCATCTCTTCAAATCCTTGTACCAAAGGCATCACCTCATACGCAAGAGCTGGATGGCTGAGGAAACTAAGCCAAAACACATTGCGTTCCGTGCGCATCAACGCCACGTTGTGACCTGCTTACAGTTTGATACAGACAAAATACTTACTGGCAGTGATGATACAAATATCAATGTTTACGATACCAAGACAGGAGCACTGCGTAACCGTCTCGAGGGACATGAAGGTGGCGTATGGGCCCTTCAGTACGAAGGCAACACACTGGTGTCCGGCTCTACCGATCGCTCAGTCCGCGTATGGGACATTGACAAAGGAGAGTGCACACACGTGTTCCAGGGTCACACATCGACCGTCCGATGCTTGGTGATCCTCAAGCCAACGCATATTGGCGAGACCATCGATGGCCAACCCATCATGATGCCAAAGGAGGAGCTCATTATCACCGGTTCACGCGATTCAACGCTTCGTGTATGGAAACTTCCCAAGCCGGGTGATCGGAGCGTTATGCAAACTGGAGCATCTGCAAACGACCATGATAACCCTTACTTCATACGCGCTTTGACTGGGCACCATCATTCGGTACGCGCTATTGCTGCCCACGGGGACACTCTGGTGAGCGGTAGTTACGATTGTACTGTTCGGGTATGGAAAATTTCGACCGGAGAAGTTCTCCAGCGTCTTCAGGGTCATTCACAAAAGGTCTATAGCGTTGTCCTTGACCATGCTCGGAATCGTTGCATTAGTGGTTCTATGGACAACATGGTTAAGGTCTGGTCCCTGGAGACAGGTGCCTGTATATTCACGCTTGAGGGGCACACCTCTCTGGTTGGTCTCCTCGACCTGAGCCACGGGCGCCTAGTATCTGCGGCTGCTGACTCCACTCTCCGCATTTGGGATCCGGAAAATGGACAGTGCAAGAGTCGACTTTGTGCTCATACCGGTGCCATTACCTGTTTCCAGCACGACGGGCAAAAGGTCATATCTGGCTCTGACCGCACTCTGAAGATGTGGAATGTCAAGACTGGAGAGTTTGTTAAGGATTTGTTGACCGACCTGAGCGGCGTGTGGCAGGTCAAGTTCAACGAGCGGCGCTGTGTCGCTGCTGTTCAGCGCAACAGCATGACGTATATCGAGGTAAGCAGACGTAGGAGCTGGTTTCTTCTTTTCCGGCTAACGTTGCAACAGGTTCTCGATTTTGGCGCTTCACGCGACGGTGTTCCCGCTGAACAGCGAGGACGGCGCATTGTTGTTAATTCCAAGGGCCATGAGATTGAAGATGTCACTGATGCAGAGCCTATGGATGCAGAGCAGGCCTAGGCCTAGACACGAAACACAGACACAAACAGCATATCATTTGGGGCTGGCGCGAATGTTTCCACTTGTACAAAAGCGATACCCAAAACCGCACTTTGGCGAACGAATTGATGACACGGCATCCGAGTTTTATTATTTCAGGTAGTAATGTGGCATGGACTAGTGTAGGCACAGCCTTGGCCGGTTCTTTTGGCACACAGCAAGGTGTGGGGAAGGATGCTTGCACATGCACACATGCAGGAGTATGGGCGTTTTGTTTGTTATATATGCATAGCTAGGGCGTTTTCGACATTGCTAGTTACGGTCCGCATTTGGCGGGAGCTAAGAGGTTACCATCGACATGAGGATCATGACGAGGCCTGTGGCTTGTACGGGCACAGAACCATGTCAAATACATCAGTTTAATTATCAAGTCCCTGCGCCTTGTACTGCTTGTGATGTATTCATCTACCCTAAAGGAACGGAGGGCGTGGGGTAGTTAATGCCGATGGTCGGCACGCTACTTTTAGTCCAAGCGGTATGACGCGCTATTAGCCCACTGCCGCCGCAACTGCAACCATTTATATATACATGCATCTATACATACACATTTTCATACATGTAGCTCAAGTCGCAAACAATCCGGTCGCATGTCAAGCCGCTGCAAAATCGCGTCAGCTACTCGCCGTGACAGCACATCCGAAATGCAGACTCCAGTCCAAAAACTGTGATGCCGACCTATTTCTTTCACCTTACCTTCGAGCTTTACCCCTCGCGCTCATCGCCGGACAAGACGTTTACTCCACCACCGCAGACTGACATTTTCCATTCGGAGCTCCCGGTACACCAAAGGGCTTATTGGGGCTCTTTTCCTTTGCCATCATCGCCTTCGTCGCGCACACACAGCGGACCCTCCACCTCTCGTGAGCAACGGGCTACTTCTCGCCGACTCAGCCAGCGCACCCGGCCATCTTTCTCGGATCACCACGACAGCCCTGTGCCCGTCATCAAACCCCCAAAGAG